ACTCACACTGGAGTGAAACCTTTTGAATGTGAGGAATGTGGGAAAGCCTATGGCCAAAGGGGACACCTTATTAGACATCAGAGAGCTCACCATTAACATGGGAAGTGGGGGAGGAGAATAAGGATTTATATAGTACCTACTGTGTGCTAGGTATATTTACAAATATCTCATTTGGAAGGTACATGCTGTTATTCCCATTTTACAGTTGAGGAAACAAAGCAGAGAGAGGTGAATGACTTGCCCAGGGTCACACAGCTAGTATGCTTCTAGGGCTGGATTTGAACTCAACTCTTCCTGACTCTAGGCCCAGTGCTCTGGCCACTGTCCTACCAGCTGCCATTAATGAAATGCTCTGAATGTGAGGAATAGCTTTATGGGTAACGGGTTATGTCTCACTAAATGTACTTTTTAAAAATAGGCTTGCTAAGCTTATAAATTAGAGGAATGCCAAAGATGTGAGTTGCCGAGATTTTAGAAAAGCATGGTGGAATGCCCCAGGCACACCAGGCAGAGAACCCTCTTTGATGGTTTGCTGCCAGCCTTGAAGGGGGTCTGTGGCGAGGACCTCGTGGATCCGCGCTTATTTCGCTGGGTACACAACATCGTTCTTGTTATTTCTGTATCACCTGTACACTCTCACTGTCGATTCTCCCCGATAGCTACCGCCCCTCAGAGTAAAGAATAAAGAAGAGGAATTGAAAAAAGATAAGCACAAGTAACCGCCCTTTCATCCCTCGGACAATGACACAGTGGTCCGTAGCCGGGAACCCTCGCCTCCGTGGAGGAGCTGAGGAGTCTTCTGATTTCTCTTCTCTAGGGCCAACCTTGGCCATCCCCATTCTGAAGCCTTCACTTTGGGCTGTTTTCTTGTTTTCCTTTCCATTTACGTTGTTGTTATGGAATATGTTGTTTTCCTGGTTCTGCTAGCTGTACTTAACATTCATACATCTTTCCATGCTTTTTAAATATTTTTTATATTCATAATTTCTTACAGCACAGTTTAAAAAAACTTATAAAGTACCCAGGAGTCAATCTGCTAAATAGTAGCATAATTCTTCATATGTAATACATAGATACCATCACAAGAAGCACCTTAAGGAAGTGAAGAATTGAAATAACTGTGCTCATGCCTGGTCCAGGTCAGTTTAATGAGATAGGGACTCGACCTAGGATTTGCCAGTTTTAGGGTTTAGGGATTTGCCAGTCATTCAGTTGGTATTTGATTAATTTAGAAATTTTAATTTATTAAAAATGCTTCCTATGTGCCAGGCATTGTGCTAAGTGATGAGGGTACAAAGAGGCAAAAACACAGTCCCTGCCTTCAAAGAACTCACACCGTAAAGGGAGAGATGACATACAAACAGCTATGTATGGACAAGATATGTGGTGTACACTGAAGGTAATTTCATCGGGAAGGCAGGAGGTGGAGGGGGAACGTTCCAGGCGTGGCAGACAGTCAAAAGAAAAGGCAAGGAGTTGGGAAATGTCTTGGATGAGATACAGCAAAGAAATCGGTGTTGATGGATTGTAGAGTACGTGGGTGGGAGTAAAGTATAAGAAGACTGGAAATCAGGGAAGTGTTGTGAAGGACCTTGAAAACCAGAGAATTTTATATTTGACCCTGGAGGTAATGGAATTTCCACTACTGTTATAATATATACCATTATGTATTTTCTGAAACTTAGAGCAAATGTGTCAAAATCTCAGTTCTGCAAAACTAGATCAAAACGTAATTGGGAAACATTTAACAAAATAAGTAAAGGTACGATTCCACATAGATAAATAATGTTATTTTGTGGTTTTCTAAGTCGAGATGGCCCCGCTGGCTTGAACTCTGAGAGGTGAAGTATGGGCCCAGGTCCCATAAGCCAGTAAGTATCTGACACAGGCCTCGCGCCTTAGGCTTGCTGGGTCCGCGGGAAGCTTCCTGTCCACTCTGCTGTGCTGCCATATGATAAAAATGACACTACCACCCAAAATTAACTTAAAGATTCAGTGCTAGCAAAAAAGGACACTTCATACGGAGCTGCACAAAATAATAAAATTAATTTGGAAGAACAAAGGATACTGGATATCTAGGGACATGAAAAAAGACCGGAAGGAAGCGGAGAACATTACGTCCAGACTTCATCATATCATAAAGGAACAATCCAAACCATTTGGTACTGGTTAAAATAGAAGTGTAGGTCAATGGAATAGGCTAGTCAAGGAAGAATCAAAAATGAAAACTCAGTAACCTAGTGCTTGATGACCCTGAAAGCATATATTACCTAAGAAAAACTTGTCATTTGAAAAGAAATAGTGGGAAAATTGGAAAGCAATCTGGCAGAAATTGGTTCATACCACCACTTATACAATATGCCCCGTCAGTTCAAAATGGATCCTGACCTGAATACTAAGAAACATATAAAGTAAGTTAGAAGAGAAGTAGATCCTATGCCTTTCACTGCTATGGCTAAAGGATGAAATGTTTTTTGAAGGGATGAATTCTTTTTTTCTTTAATTTATTTTTAGTTTTCAACATTCACTTCCACAAGACTTTGAGTTCCAAATTTTCTCCCCATCTCTCTCCTCCCCCCACCCCAAGACGGCTTGGATTCTCAATTCTCCTTGCCCCAATCTTCCCTCCCTTCTATCTCCCTCCCCTTCTCTTATCCCCTTCCCCTTTTATTTTCCTGTAGGGCTGGATATATTTCTATACCCCATTGCCTGTATATCCTATTTCCCTGTTGCATGTAAAAGCAATTTGTAACATTCATTTTTAAACCTTTGAGTTACAAATTCTCTCCCTTCCTCCCTCCCCACCCACCCTCATTGAGAAGACAAGCAATTTGACAGGTTATACGTGTGTAGTCATGCAAGACACTTCCATAAATAATCATGTTGTGAAATACAAACTATAATTCCCTCCATTCTATCCTGCTCTCCCCTTTATTCTAGTCTCTCCTTTGACTCTGTCCTTCTTCAAAAGTGTTTGCTTCTGATTACCCCCTCCCCCAATCTGCCTTCCCTTCTATCATCCCCACCTCTTTTATCCCCTCTCCCCCTATTTTCCTGTAGGGTAAGATAGATTTCCATGCCGAAGGGGTGAATGCTTAACCAAACAACGGACAGATTCACTTTAGAGAAGATAAAAAGACAATTTCAATTATAGACAGTTCTTGGTTTACATAAATGGGCTGTTCTGCAGACCTCTACTTAAAACAATTTTTATGCAGCACAGATTTGTCTGCTGATATGGGGACAGGAGTGAGGCAGAAAGGGACCTGTGTCCATGGAGGGAGGGGTTGGGACACAGTTCAAGGACACATCAGGGCTGGGGATAGAAGTGAGAGAAGGCACATGGGTTGGGACCAGCCACATAGAGGCCTGGCCAGAATAGGGGAGCAGACACATGGGGACTGGACACAGGAGAGGCCTGGTGACCACTGTGGACAGAGGGAAGACAGACACTCAGCTTGGATACGTGAGGGTGGGTAGGGCAAGGCAAAGGTCTCTCAGTGAGGGGGCTTGAAGCCAAGCCCACCACTGGGCAGGTGGCAGCAGTGATATTCTCTCCGTGCATTGGTTCTGATTTCACTTGGGTTTTTTTGGGGAGGGGGGTGAGGCAAGAGGCTGCAGGAAACTGAGGGGCAGGTGTGGGGACAGCAAGAACAATCCAGTGAAGTTAGCAGGTTGTTTTTGGAATGTGGATTTATTTCAGAATTATTTTTGTATAAAGTTGCATTTGTATAATGTGAATTTACATAAATTGAGAATTGTCTGTACATGGTATTTGAAAGTGTTTACATGAACAAAATTAATTGACTAGCATAAAAAAAACCAACTGGAACAAAATCTTTATTAAATATCTTTTCTAAGGGTTTGATATCTAGACAACTAACATATATTCTCCAACAGATAAATGTTCAAAGGATATGCACAGAGTTATCAAAAGGAGAATTGCAAATCTTTAGTAACTATGAAAACATGCTCTCAACCATAAGAATAAGAGCACTGCAAATCAAAACAGCTGAGGTCTCCCTTCCTGCCCAGCAGATGAGCAAAGATGATGAAAGATGGGACTTAGTCAACGAAGGAACGGTTGTGGAAAGAAGGGCACGCTCATGTGTTGTGGATGGAGCTATGAATTGCTTCAGCTCTACTGGAAAGCAGTCTGGAATTATACAGATAAAGTAACAAATATTGATTCCTTTTCTGCCTGACATTTTGATTAATGACTCAGATAAATTTAATCTTCTAGTTGGTGAATTGTTTCCAGCTGGTTGTTGCCATTATATTACCTTGAAATAACAGCCACCTCCCAAAGTTACTTAATGTGAATCATCCTTAGGCTGATTTCCAGACAGTACTCAGTCTTGGATCATTAGCGACATAAGAGTCACCCCAAGTAGCTGAGAGAGTGTTGAATGTGTGGTAGATCTGGGCAGTTTTTATTCAGGATGTCTTGAAATCTGGAATGCAGGCTTTTTTAGTGGGCCATGGTTTTCCAATAATCTTTCCTTGACTCCTTTCGAGTGAATGAATGAAAAAGCACTGCAATGCTTGCTATGTGCTAAGTGCTTGGGATACAAACAGAAAAACTGAAATAGTCCATGCTGTGGAGGGACTCACATGCTAGTTGTAGGGAGACAGCTAGTTGGCACAGTGGGTAGAGTAATGGGCCTGGAGTAAGGAAGACACAATTCAAACATGGTCTAAGACGGGTAATAGCTGTGCGACCTTGGGCAAGTCACTTGACTTCTTTTTGTCCGTTTCCTCATCCGTAAAACAGGGATATCAACAACACCCACCTTCCAAGGTGGTTGTGAAGATCAAATGCTTAGCACAGTGCCCGGGTATCACAGGCGCCAGAGAAATGAATTTTTTATTATCAAGAAGGGCTTTCCCCCTGGATTTCATGATTTCCAGAAACTCGTCATTCCACAAGATGAAATCAGCCCCGAAACACAGCTCCTCAGCACTCCCTGCTCCGGGGGCCTCTCTTCCTCCAGTTGGCAAGGGCACGGGGAGGAACGTCGTCTAGGAAGTCCTCCCAGATTCTCCCGGGAGTTGACCTCGTTATTTCCCATCCGACGGCGTTGCTTGACTTCCATCTTTAGAGGCTCGGCGTTCCAGGAGCCGCGCCAACACCAAGTCATTCCCCAGCCCTGGCCCTTCAGCAGCAGGCCCC